TAATGGCCTTTTTGAATATAATTTTGCAAAAAGGGCATTTTGGTCTTTTGGAATATTCTGGATATTTTTTTATGCTTGAAGAATATCCAGAATGCATAAAATGCGTTTTATAAAATTTTATTAGATTTATTTGGACATCTAATTTAATTTTATGAGTTTTAGAAAATATTTACTCCCGTAGTATTTTTCTAGAACTGTCTGGGGTGAGCGCGGTTCACCCGGTGTATGTATATCTCTATTGCTTGTGTGGATGTATGATATGCATGGTGGATGATTGTGGCTATAGTTTATTTGATTATAATACGGCCTGCGTGTCGTGCCTTATCTCATAAACTCTTGTTGTAACTCTATTTCTCTCTCTTACCTCAACCGAGGATTCTTTTCTCACGTGGTGGTTAGAAGACAAAAAGATTTGAAGACCGTTTGAAGAAATCTAAAAGAATGGAGATAGCCCAAAGTCCAAGTGCCTAGAAGCCAGTGGGAGCTATCGTTTTATTTTTCTTTTAGGGGCCACAATCAATACACGTTTATTTACTGCGTTTTGTGAATGCATGTTGAATGGATAAACTAAAATTGGGGGTTTTATCCTGATTGTTCAAAAAATAAAGAGTAAAAGTGATTTTTTAATGGAGCATGCTACATGCACCCCAAAAATTGTACCTTATTTGTATACCAATACTTTGATGATTACACTGGCACAAAGCGTTGGTGCGTTAACAAAAATTTACACTGATACAAAGTGTTGATGCGTTAATAAAAATTAGCATTACACCAACACAAAATGTTGGTGCATCCCTGTGATGTACAAAATGGGGTACAAATCTTTGGGGTACAAATAGCTTTAGCCTTTTTGAATAGATAAGGGAACATCTTTTGGGGAAAACAAAAACAATGAAAGGAGAAGATCTTTTAGCCAATTGGATCAGTCAAGATTAGATCTAATTAGATAAGATAAAATCAAATCCAATCATGTCTGATTGCTTGTATATTTCATGCGACCCACTGCATCTTAGTTTATCATGTTTATATGTTGTTTAGATTAAATCAAATTAAATTAAACCAGATCAAATTAGAAAGATTTTTAAATATAATTAGAATTAGATCTAATCAGATAAGATTAGATAAGATCAAATCAAATTCAATCAGATCTTATTGCTTGCATATTTCATGTGAGCCACTGCATCTCAATTTAACATGTTTATATGTTGTTTAGATGATATCTAATGAAATTAGATCTCCTCATATCATATTAGACTATAGGGTGTTACATTATTTCTCCTAGATTTTAAAACTCATATCTTATATCATCATCAAACCACACCAAACATGCATTAAATCTCTAAAAATTTTCATTTCCCTCTTCCTAAATTTGTTTTCCCTCTTCCTAATTTCACCTCCTTTTTCCTAATTTCCTTTTTCACTTTTAGAAACTTGCACTCACGAGGGTTGCTGGATCTTTATTTTACTGAATTAAAGACACTCTAATACGAGATTTGGGATAATATATTATTTTAGATAATTAAAAGAATTTTTGGAGATTCTAATCGTCTCAATACAACAAAACTAATCTGAGTATATTTGTAAAGATTTGAATTAAAAGATTGATATGTTCATTGATTGATTATAAAAATTGTATCGTTGGGTAGGGATCGACGAATCAAATCCAACGACGCACACTGCTAAAATTTCGTGTAAAAGCTGCGAAAATATAGAGGGGGATTTTTCCGCCTCTAATTAGCAGTAGATTAGAGGGGGAGTATTCACCCTCTATTTCATATTTTTAATTAGCGGGTGGTATTTTCCCCACTAATTTCGTAGCTAATTGAAATAAATTTTGCTTGCATAACCGGGAGATTAAATTTAAATTTTAAATGGCAGTACAAGACTTCTAATTTATTATAAAAACATAATAGAGTTAGAGGCGGAAAAATTCTCCACTATTCTAAAAAAAAACATTAGAGGCAGTAGATGTCGCCGCTAAGTATACAACAAAAAAATTAAATAATAAGGGTAATATTTCCCCTCTAATGGAAAAGAAAAATGCTAGGGATACACCATAGGTGTACCCCATTTGTCCCCCACCCCCTTCATTACCACAAAAATGGGCAAGAAACTAAAAAAAAATTAAATAAATAAAAATGAGGTAAAAATGAGTGGTGGAGAAAGGGGTGGGGGACAAATAGGGTACACCTTTGGTGTACCCCTAGCATTGCTCAATGGAAAACATTGAGTGGAACTTTTCTCCCTCATGATTTTGTCAATGAATGAAAATGAAGAAAAATGCTAGGGGTACACTAAAAGTGTACCCCATTTATCCCTCACCCCCTCCTTCTCCACATAAAAAGGCAAGAAATGCAAAAAAATAAATAAATAAAAATTAATTAAAAATGAGTGGTAGAGAAGGGAGTGGTGTACATTTGGGGTACACTTTTGGTGTACCCCTAGGATTGCTCTAAAATGAATTAAAGGTGTGGCTGCCTCATACCATTATCCGCAAAAAAAGAGTATGTCGTCACGCTTAGGGGTGTATACGAATCGAATAGAAGAAAATATATCACTATTCGATTCGTATTCGATTAAAGTGATATGTATTCGAATTCGGATTCGTATATAATTCGAATTTTAAAAAACATTCGTATTCGATTCGATATTTGACGTATTTGAATTCGTATTCGAATATTCGAATTCGAAAATATTAGAAATTTTTTTCTTAAAATAGATTTCTTAAAGACATTAACTTATTATTTTATAATAATGTAAAATGTAGTAAAAATATGTTATATAAATTTATATGTACACAAGAATTTAATATATTAAAATATGTTAACATATGTACACAAATATTTAATATATTAGAATATATATAAATTTATTTATAAATTATAATATTGGAATAATTTGAATAATAAACAAATCGAATCTATTAATATTTATATTTGGATTCGAATATAATTTGAATCTAAAATACGATTGGTATTCGAATTCGAATATAGCGAATACGAATCATTATTGGCCGCCAGATGCGATCATCCGACAGCGCCTAGGTCTACCTCGTGGACATACTTTGACGCCGCGATAGTGGAGAACGACGCCATCGACATACTTTGGTCTCAGAGTTCCTCGCCCACACAGTATAACGATATCAGTCTCAGACATCGACGCCGCCCACGCCCGTGTTTGCTGCCGTGTCAAGCCAAAATTACAACCCCAATCTCCGCCGCCTCGAATTTCCAGGTTTAAGTTCTTCTTAGAATTACTCCAATTTTTCCTTATAGTAACTTGCTACTTTAGAAAATGTTGGAAAAAAAGATGGTTCTTTCGCCTTGAATGACATTCTATTAAACAAGCCCTGACTTCAAAAATAAATATGGAGTAGAATCAACTAAAAGAACCACTCTGTACATTAGAATGTGCTACAAGCTGACTAAATTGTTAGGAATACAAGGATATTGAAATTCATCAATAACATATATAAAATCATATATTTACACAAAGGATTAGATGAACCTGCCTATTAGTTGCTGCTATAAGTGATAAAAATGTTGGAAACGACTTATTGGAGTCCAACATAAGTAGCTGGGAAGCTTTATACACATCTTGCTCTCTACTGCAATAACAGACTCAACAAGAGTGTTAAAAAAGTTATATCAGAGATCTATATAAGGCCTGTTTGGGAATAGCGTTGAGATTAGCGTCAGCGTTTTGGATAAAATTTCAACGGTGCAGATTACTTTGAAAACGCTAACGCTAAACGCTGCCCGTAGATAGCCTTTTCAAAACGCTAACGCTAATCGATAACGCTATTCCCAAACAGGCTGATAGTAAAAATACATAGTAGAGACAACTTCCCGTAATAAAAGTTTCATAAAAAATGCAAAATTTAGAAAAGTGAGGTACTAATATATTTTCTAACCTAGAATTTTGGAGCATGAATTACAAAACCCCGTAAAAATATTTGAGCGTACACTTTATAAATGTACGGTGACAGGGAATGACCTCCACTGTTCCGGTGATGGACTCGAGCAGAAGCAATGCCGCCCTTCAGGCTTCTTCGACGGAGAGACGCCGGACGACGACGGTGACAGGGTTGAGACCAGCGACTTCTTCTGACGAGCTGTACCTATTCCGGTGACTTCCTCTGGCGACCGTCAGGCAGCAGTGACGAGGACCTGGGTAACTCCTCGCTGCTCCATTAGCTCCCGACAGTGGTAACGTTTGGGCTTCGGCAGCAACTGATAGAATCCGTGCAGCGGGTAAATACTTTTTATTTTTAAAATTATTTTAGATTATAAGTTATGATTTAGGATATGTGAGGTGTGAAATTGTGAATTTTTTATTTTTTAATAAGAGAAGTGTGAACTTTTCATGAGTTGATTTTCATATGATTATATGAAGGTTTTGATTTTTTGTTGATAAAATTAGTAATTTTCTTATTCTAGTAATATGTCTCATATACAACTGCCAATTAGGGCTTTTAGTTTGGGAGGTCACTTTGGTTTCATTGGCTTGAAACTATTGTGTTAAGGAAACTTTCAATTGGGGGGTTGGGGCTTTTAGTTTATATTACGTTCCTTTGCTATACTAGGTTGAACGAGCTGTAAAGTTGGAAGATAGAAGCAGATTGATGAGGCTACAACTTCCAAATATGCAGAGGTTTAAACTTTGCTGGTTTATGACCTTGCAGATGAGGCTGCCTGGATATTATATTAAGAGGCCAACTGTTTTGCTCTTCAACCAGCAGGCCAAGCAACCAGCAGTGTGAAAGACTAAGAGGGGTGATGATGTTGTTCCCTCTTCCACATAGGCAAAGGGTCAAGCTTAAGTCATTGAGGAGAGTAAAACCATGGCTAAAAACCAATCTTTGTGTAATTGGCACTCCTACGTTGAAGATTTGGTCTTTATTCTTTAATTTGAGTAATTTTAGAATATGGAGTTTCATTCTTTGTGTTTTGTTTGTTTTCTACTTTGGATTGAAGCAAGCCAATGTACTCTTAGTTTTGTTTTTAATACATTTTGTGTACTCTTATTTGCATCTCGCCATCTTCTCATTGTGTTTTGGTTTTATGATGTGATCGAGATTGATTGATTGTATGGGTTTCCAATTCCCTTTGTGTGTAGCGGGATAGTACCCAGCCTGTCCATGTACTTTTTCTTTCGTTTTAATGGAAGTGTTTATTTTTTCATGTCCATATAATTGTTTGAAACAATGTTTATTTGATTCTTGTACATATATTGTCCGAAAGTAGGAAAGTAAAGTTAGAGAGCGTATCCATTTTCATTGTAAAAAAGATTACCGTTACTTTGAACCTTTAAAATAGTTCTAGGCTTAAGAGCTAGACTACTGTTTAAAACGAGTATTCTTAACTTTTAAAATTGTTCTAGGCTTAATACGCACAATTCTCTTAAAAACAGTTTTCTTTACTTATTATAGATACCGTGAAAAAAACGGTGTGACACACACTACTAGTAATACATTACGGTTTCTCAAAACTTTAAAAATAGTTCTAGGCTTAATAGTCTAACTACTGTTTAAAAAGAGTATTCTTAATTCATTATAGAAAACTTGTAAAAGATTACGGTTTAAAAATAGTTCTACGCTATATCAATATACTACTGTTACAAGGAAGTCTTCTATTTTTATAATAAACAACTGTGCAAAACAAAACCATATAAAACATACAACTTACAATGGAATTCTATTTTTTATAAGTTTAAAAATAGTTATAAACTTAAAAAACAGACTACTGTTTAGAAATAGTAGTCTTAACTAATTTTTGACCACTGTGGCAACAAAAACTGTATTTTTAGATGAAACGGACTACAAATAAAAGATTACCGTTTCTTACAACTTTAAAAACAGTTATACCCTTTGTTCATAGACTACTATTACAAAAGAGTCTTCTATTCCCATTAGAAACAACAGTGGCAAAAAAACCATATGAAACAGACAACTAGCGATAGATAACTGTTTCTAATAAGTTTAAAACCAGTTCTAGACTAAAACACCATACTACTGTTTAAATAGAGTATTCTTAACTTGTTATTGACAACTGTTGTAACAAAAACTGTATTTTGAACTGACACAGACAACTAGTGATAGATTACCGTTTCTCAAAACTTTAAAAACAGTTTTAAAGCATAATAGCTAGACTACTGTTCAGTAGCCAAGAAAAACTCACAGTAGTCTGTTTTTTTAAACTATTGTGTTTCCATAAATAGTAGTTAATCAACAGTCGTCTGATACTGTTTTTGGCGTAGTGTTGATTGGGGTTTTTAGATGAACCGATAGACATCCGGATGAAGTAGCGGTTTTAACTTTGGGCTTCTGTACAGTGTACACTCATGTCTATGTGGGTGATGAGTCAAAAAAAAAACAAAGCCACGTACACTTAAACTAACACATGTGGATTGACACGTGGTGGCCCAACAATTGATGTACTCTACTTTATATATATATATATATATATATATATATATATATATATATATATATATATATATATATATAGACACACACACACACATATACATACATACATACATACATGCATGCATATGTGTGTGTGTGTGTGTGTGTGTATATATACATACATACATACATACATATGTATGTATATATATATATATATGTATGTATGTATGTATGTATGTATGTATATATGTGTCTATATATATGTGTGTGTGTGTGTGTGTGTCTATATATATATATATATATATATATATATATATATATATATATATATCTATATATATATGTATATATGTATATATATACATACACACACACACACACACACACACACACATATATATATATACATACATATCTATGTATGTATGTGTGTGTGTGTGTGTGTGTGTATATATATATATTAAATCAAATTTTATTGAAAACAGGTGAAGAACACGTTCGGAGAGGACCAAACCAAATCCCCGAAGGTATGGAACAAAACAAAAGAAATACAATGAAAAGAAAGTAGAGGGTTAGTGCATGATGACCCCTCTGTTCCAGCATCCATTGAGTCCAATATCCTCTAGACCATTTGCCTTCATCATCCAAGGTCTTCTAGAGTGCAGGCTTGCCCAAGTTTGAGTCATAAAAACAATGTTATGATGGATGTGCATAAGATTGATCGCTTCGCCGCCAAACATGTGTGCGGAGTAGGATTTCCATATTGCCCATAAGAGGAATCCTGGCAAGCAAGCTCGTAGAATCTCTTTCAAGTTGTTCTTCGAGGAGGAGATCCACCATTGGAAAAGGTATTGTCTTAACGTTATCCCTTCTCTCAACCTTGGCCCATCTGTATAGTATGCATACAGGTTCTAAATAGGCCTGATTTTTCCACATTGAAGAAGGCTGTGGTTCAACGTATCATTGTCATGCATGCAGAAAATGCACCTCGAAGGAATATTGTAGTTCATGGTACGGAGGGTTTCAGGAAAGGGGAAGAAACCATTTATTATTTTCCATTGGAACAGACGAATCTTCCCTGGTAGAAGCTTGTTCCATGTGTATCTTGTCGAGAAGAGGATAGGAGATGAGTCCCTAAGCAGGTTGTAAGTGTCCTTCATGCAGAAACTGGAGTTTAGAAAAGAATCCCTGACCTCCTTAGCCAAGTATGTGTGAGCCTTGCAGATCCTTTTCCAGTTGGCAGAGTCTGGAAGGTTGGCCTTGATAATATCCCTGTGGTTGATGTATTTAGCCTTCATGTATGAAGACCATAGGTTGTCTACATTCATGACTTTCCAAAGGAGTTTGAGGGATAGTGCCTTTTGGACATCATTGAGGTCCCGAATCCCCAGACCACCCTCTTGAGACGGCCTGCAAATGGTGTCCCAGCTACTCCAGTGATGTTTTGGTTTGCCCTCCCTGAAAACCCACAGAAAGTTGCTCATTTTGGTGTGGAGCAAGTGGGTCACTGATTTTGGAAGCTCGCTGATTGCCATATGGTGAAGGGGGATAGAAGAGAGGACATGTTTGATGAGAATGAGTCTTCCCATCGGGTTGAGGACCTTGGAGTCCCAAGCACTGAGAAGCTTATCAAAATGGTTGATGATAGGTTGGCAGTCCTTATGAAGTTTGCCTTTGGTGATGATACCTCCAAGATATGTAAAAGGGAGCTTACCCTCCTGCATGTTAAGGGCTTATTTTGCTATTTCTCGATGGGAAAGAGATGCCTTGGAGCCCATAAAGAATCTAGACTTATTCCAGTTTATGTCTTGGCCAGAGACTGCGATATATTCTTTAAGGATAGACATAAAGCGCAGGAGGTTGCGAGGTTTGGCATTAAGGAAAACCACCAAGTCATCTGCATAGCTGAGATGGGTAATAATAGGGCCTCTCCCGTGGTTAAAAGGCTTGATGTA